AAACAAAATGCTCTAATTTTGAAATACGATGAAACCAGCTGATACTTGTTTACTCTTCTGTGCCAAGTAATCTTTAAGTTGCAAAGACAATTCGCGTTAGAATGTATCTTTTAAATTAAAAAGTAAATGTTTATATTTAGATAAATATGCTGTTTATAATTTTAACAAATATTTGAGAAATAATTTAAGTATCACAAGATATCTGTTTACGTTAAGATAATTGTAAATGGAAATAGAGAGTGTAACTCATCTACCACAGTCTGTATAATACCACAATCGTGCAAGACATGTAGAATAGTTTTCAGTATTATATCGAAATTACTGATGTTTTGGCAAAGTGTCCATTGTAGTCAAGGTGCTTGTTTAGTTGAGATATTATGCCAAAATAAGTATCAGATAGCTTCAGAGTTTCCTTCTTGCCTTGCAAGAAGTTCTCCCCTACAGCCCACCTCATTGTTCTCATTGCATGATACAAACCCTGCACTTCCTCACAATTCTTCTATGACACCTTTTGAGTGAATTAATTTTTATCATTAACTGCATTAACTGCCTGTGGCAGCCATCCTAAGCGATCATACAGCATACACTTCTTCTTTTGTGGCTGAGGCTGTCTTATGGTGGTTTAAAACAAAGCTTGCCTTTGCTAGTTGGTCTGAATGAACCTGTAAAACAGTTTTGGGACAGGCTTCTAACAGCCCTGGAAGTCACTATCTACTTTGATTATACCAGTATGTTAGAGCAGCCCAGGGTTCTGAAGGCTATTGCCAATTCTTTGGGATCTCTCAAATGCAGTTAGCTCCTTGCTGAAGCAGAAGGGTCCAGTGCTCTCGGTCTGTTGAATACTACTGATCAGTTCATATTGGCTTGCATTGGGAAGGCTTTCTTCATAGGGGTAAAATATTAGTATCGTGTGAAAGCTGAGATGCCTGTTTGTCCCCAGTTTTTATCGCCTTGCTCTAATTTATCTTCACTATGACATGATGGGGGCTCTCAAAATAATTGATCAAACATTGAGAACGATGTAGGTGCTATTAAGGTATGTGGAAACAAACCCCAAAACCCCAATGTGTTTACTTGATCAAATTCAAATGCACAAAAGTATAAGAGTTCATGTTTAGATCTTGATATGTATATAACATATTACATGAATGAGATTTCCTTTAATGCCTTTTTTCCGGTTCGTTGCTCACCATGTAAGTCTGTAGCACGGTTTGTGTAAGCTCAGGGTACAGCCTGGCTATGCTCCCAGCCTGGATAATTATTTTGTTATTTATTAGACTAGTAACTTTTTGGCATGTTATATTGTGCACACTCAGAACTCACCTAGTTAAGGTTACATCAAAGATTGACCTCCATTGACAAGATTAAATTGAAGTCATTTTCTCTTAGAGCTTAGCAGGTAGAGTATTTGTGTTGTCAGCAAACAGGATTTGTCTTCTTTCCCTTGAGCATTACCTTGAATGCAGTGTCAGAATGCCAGAGGGTTTTACTTTAATATTAATTTTTCTCCAATTTTTATTAATTTTCCTTCTCTCTCACTCTTCAGCTATCACAATGATTTCCTTTTCCAAAAGAAGCTACTGTATAAAAGCTGTGCTTAAACGCTGATCTATTTCAGTAGTATTTTTGAGCTGTATATATTATCTGATGTTTAACCCTTAGAACTTGAAGGACTGTCTCAAATATGTTGTGTTTGTAGTCTTCTCACTTACAAAGAAGTCCAAACAAACCAAATCCTAAACCCCTCTAAATTAGAGAGATAAAAAAAGTCCTGGGAAAATACTGATTATCTGTAATACTCTAAGGGCTATTTTATGCTACAATTTGCTTTAAAATAAAACCCACATAAATCATGTTATTGTCTGTTCACTTGTAGAATGGACTCAGACCAATAAATCAGTGAATATTACATCAACCAAAGAAACAATCAGTTGTAAATACTCTTAATTGTGAAATGACTGATTTAATTTATTCAGAATATAGCACATTTTAACACTTGGTTAGCCTTGCCAGTTACAGAACATGATGAAGGAGGATGTCTACTAATTAACTCATTTAAAAAAGGAAATAACCCACTGAAAGAAAGGAAATAATGTTCTTTTATAGGTTATTTCCATGTGTATTCTGACAACCATGTTTGAAACCTGTTTGTTTTTCCTGCTAATTTTAAAGTGTTTTAAAACCCACGGGCAAGGTAAATTCACATCCTTGAAATCACTAAGTCTATATGTGAATTACTGTAGAAAAAATTTCTTGATACATAACTCAAATTCCAGTAAAGAAGAACAGTCTATTGCTACATATTTTAGTATGGAATCTTTTATCCCCAGATATATTCAGTTTTCACTTAACGTGTAATATTTAAACACAACTTTTCTATTAAAATTTGAAATGAGGTGGTGTGAATGCTGTCAGTGGTGGTCTTCAATAAGAAAAGGAAAAACTGAAGCCCCTTTGATTTCTCTGTGATGGTTGTGATAAGATTTATAAAGCCAGGAAACATCATGAAAGTAACTCAATGGTTTATCTGTAGCTCCAGCAGTTGTGGAGGTCATGTCATGTTCAACAGAGAAAAAGCAAAACAAAACAATGTCTTTATCAAGAAAAAGAAATTCCAGATCACTAGAAAACTAGTGATTTGGAAATGGCATCAAACAATCCTCGCCCTGCTGGAACTTAGCTGTCCAGGGGGTGTGAAGAGAGGTGACTGGCAAGAAAAAAGCATTAAATTTATAATTTTATTTATCACTGTAATCTCAGAGAATGGAGTATCAGCCTTTCTTCCAGACTTAGATACTATCTAATATATCATGTGTAAAATGTAATATCAAAGTAAGCTACAGTGCTTACTTTGTCCTTGGAACCGGGGTAGAATTACGTTTTACAACAGTCATTAGTGCGTGGCTTAATGCTGGAAGGAATATTCTATTTCTTACTAAGACGGGAAATATGAGTTGGGCTTTCAGGTCTTCTGCCAACTGTCTCTGGCTTTCGCAGAAAGGGTAAACTGAAAAAGCTGCTGTCACATGTGGGCAGCAGGCATGTAGTGCAGTTAATGATCCATGATAAACCTGGATAATAAGCAGAGATGGAGAAAATATCTCCCAAATAGAGGAAGATCTGGTGTGTCTTGGAAATAATCACGTTTCTTCATCCTTTTGGTTTTGGTATGAGAAGAATCATATCTATAACAGTGAAAATCCCCCAAATGGTTTAGAGAAGGGTAGCATCTCTGCGGGTGTTGGATAACTCTAATAGTGACTTAAGTAATGAAACTACAGCTTTAGACAAAATGTATCTCTCTTTTTTTTTTTTTTTTTTTTTTAACCTGGACTCACAGAGAAAGAAAAAAAGGAAAAACAAACAAACAAACAAAAAACCACAAAAAACAACCAACCAACCAACCAAAAACACACACACACACAAAACCAAAGACCAAGCTACTGTGTTGTTTTTTTGTTTTTTTTTTTTTTTCACAGAACTTCATGATTCAGTAGGTGTATATATTCATGAGATACATGCAGCAGATTATTTGGCACATCTCAGTATAAGCTAGTCAAAGTTTAAGGTCAAATGTTTAACCGTGTCAGATTAATTTCAGTTAAATTGATTTTCCATACTCATGTATCTAGTCTTTGTTTCATGTGATTAATGGCATGTGGAACACAGAGTCTGAATATTTCTGTCATAAGCAGAAGATTCTTAAAATCTTGCTAACATACAGTAACTTTTTGGTATTCTACTTTTATCTAAAATCCAAACAATAGTTTGGCCATTTTGATAAACTAAAAGCTAAAAGAGAATGACATGGAAATTTGCTGTCCAAGTAAGCCTCCATTTGAGGTACTGGTTAAATTATCAAGCCTTTTAATGAAGGTCATAGACTATAAGTTTTTAAACTAATTCGTGTTTAGTAGAACGAGCTGTATATCACACTGAGGAAGAGTGCTTGTGAAAAGCCTTTTAAATTTTTGTTCTTGCTCGTCTGTTTTAGCTTTGTAAGTGGTATTGTATATTTATCTTAGTACAGATGGTATAGGTGTATATATATGATCTATGAATACTTAGATTTATGTCTAAATATTATATTGATTTCCTCTCAAATGGATAGTTAGGGTAGAGACTCATATTTATACTAATGAGATTATTCAAAGACACTAAACTTTGGTCCCTTTCAATTAAAAAACACATTGCAAACTGTTGCTAAGGGTTAAGGCTATTTAAGAGGTTCAAAAGGAGTTTCACTATTTGTTGCCCTCAAAGCTTGAAGAATTTCTGGTTAAACTAGGTTGTAAAGAAATCAATAATTTTATCTAAATTGCTTTTGCTTATCTGTTTATGGTCTTGTACAAAATAGGCTAACTACTCTTCAGGAATCTGTAACAGGAAGACAATGATTTCTGGTTCAAAATAAGTCACTGCTAAATTTATATATCCATATTAAAGTATGCATAATTTTATAAACCTACTTGTAAAATTCGGCATAAAGCAAATATTTTTCTTTAGTAAATGTTAGTTAGCACATACGGGGTAAGCAACAACAGCTGTCGTTAATATTCCTGTGAAATAAAAACACTGATAGCTTGTCAAGGCAACACAGATAGCAGTTCTTGGACTGATGGAAGTAAGCTAAACAGAGAGCTCAGCATTAGATAATTATCCAGGAAATCATTTAAATCTAGAGAGCTTTGTATTAAAAATAGTGCATGCATTGTTTATGTTCAGGGTGTTTGTTGGGCTGCCCTTAACATTTGCAGGGCAGCCAGAGTTCTGAGGTAATCTGGGGTTTTCTTGGGATGTATTGATAAATCTGGTTTCAGAAATGTACCTGTCCTAGCAGTATATAGGGATTCTGAGATTATAAAAATACCTGCAATATTCTAATCTAGATGTAGACACATGTAAATGTTAATCAGTGGGTTGATAGTTGATATTATTCAAACCTCATATTTTTATGCTGAATGTGAATTCTGAACACTGAATATGGGTTTCTGTTGCAGTATGAATACTTCAATGCTGTGCTCATAAATGAACGAGATGAAGAAGGCAACTATGTGGAGCTGGGGAAGGAGTTCATTCTAGTACCAAATGACCACTTCAATAACCTGCCCGTGAACATCAGTTTGAGTGATGTCCAAGTGCCAACCAATATGTACAATAAGGGTAAGAAAATACTTGTTTTATTTTGTTATTCTACTGGGCAAACGTGAGCACTTCCTTGCTTTTAAAATGAACCTGTTGATCACATCCTGTGTGCACTTTGCAGTTCATGATTAAACCGAAATTTCAGCAGAAGAGTGCTTAAACTATGACGGTTTTGTAATATTTTCTGTTCTCTGGCAACTTAGCTGTTTAATATGGCTGATGATTTGCATGTTAGATTTGTATGAATTCTGCCATAGAATATGGAAGAGTATGTTTATTCTTATGAATGATTTCTTGGAATCTCTATAATCAGTTGAACAGATCTTGCACTGTCACAAATTACATTTTGCCTTTGCTGAGCTAGGAGTCTCTTTGAAAGATACAGGGAAGATGGGAGAGGAATATTTTAGTAGTTTTATGCTCTCAAGCTTCTGGGAATAATTCTAGCTGTATATGGCTGTAAGCACAGCTGCTGTGAGTTTTCAGATAATATTTAGTATGAATAAACTACATTAAAATTTCTACTCCCCTGACTATTTGTCATAGGTGTTGGATATCACAGCACTAACAAATAGCTACATTAGATATTAGGAATGATGTACTTAGGTCTAAAAATTGGGAATGCAAACTGAATTCAGGTACTTGCTTACTCATTTTCCGTTTGCCAATTTCCTTTGATCAGACAGCAGATTTTTGTAATTTTACTGTGCTTTTGCAGCACCCACCTATTTATTTTTCTCAAGCCAGTATTAAAAAACCAAAACCAAAACCAAAACAAGCTAAGAAGGACAGCGCCAAAGTTTCTGAACGATGTTTAAAGTATGTTTCTCATTGGTCTGTAGAGAGCTGCCCAATCTCATTATCTGGTTCCTTTTCCTTGTTTTAACTATACTAAGAGACAGCTAAAAATACATTAAATGCTTTCTTTCTAATATATTCCAGGCTAGCAGTTCTGGTAATTGATGCAAGGATATTGTGTAATGGCAAATGGAAGGGGAGTTAATTTCAATAGGTTGTTTGGGTAAGAGAAACAATTGATATGAGAGCTTCTCTTCAAAGTTATGAGTCAGACTTGAGAACCTTGAGAAGCCAGAAATCATACAGTAGTGTCTTAAATTAGGGATTATAAAGTAACAATGCTTCCTAGAGAGTATTTGAAAGGTTGTGAAATTACTAATACTGGATATTTTAAAAAGGTTTAGAAAAATGCTTAAAGCTCCTAAAGCTACCAAACTTTTGTTTGTTTGATTTTGTGCAAGAACTAATATTTATTTAGCTGAGCTTGTCTGTAAATGAATACATTTCAGAATCGCTAAGGAGGCAAAAAAAAGTAAAGGGAAAAAATATGTTTGCAAAGGGATATAAAGGTCAGGCAATCATGTTTTTCTGGAGAAGTACACTAACCTGAGTAGTGAGTTAGTGAGAGCAGTAAAACAAAAGGACCTGCAGTTACATATGTAGTACCACTATATATAGAACACATTTTTATGTGTTGATTAATTACAGTTAAAAGCCAAAGTCAAAGGGCTTCTTGCATCTTGTTTTTGCCTCTAGTACAGGGACTGCCTGTAGAGATGGAGAAGATAGAGCTCTGTGATGATTTCTGTTTCCATTTTGTCTAATTCAAACCAGCCAAAATCATCACTTTATGCAGCTGCAGAAAAAACTTCTTTTTTTTTATCATTTAAATGTATTCCAACTGCTGAAATCTGGTTTGTTGCTGACATTTTCTTTACAAATGGACATGATAGTCTTGGTTTGGAGACTGATAATGTCTGAAAGTGTTAATCTCACCAAGAAGAGGCCTGTATACTTATAATTTTTGTTGCCCATTTTTTCATTTCAGAAATGCAGAGGGATGATAACAAGTTAATTAAATCCTAGCCTGGGGGTACAGGCAGTAGATATTGATAGGTTTACAACCAAGTGTCTGCACAACACCATTTCTCTAGAAAATGCCTGTTGTTCATTTCCAGATTGTTTTATTTTATTGAATTACTAGGTAAACACAGCCCAAACTCACAGTTGAAAACAGACAAGTGTGATCGTTGCACACCAGACTATCAAGTCAGCATAGAAAAATGAACTCTTTATTTGTAAGCTAGTTCTAAGGTTTGTCTTTCATTTGGGATTTTTTAGTATTAGAGATATTGATATTTTGCAAGTTTTCAGAGGAACATCACAGGACTAGTCAAAGGTTTGAAAAATGTGCCTTTAACTGAAAGACTCCAGGAACTCTGTCCGTTCACCTTATTCAAGAGATGACTAAAGGATTAATTAGTTGATCTCTAGTTAATTACTAATATGTGGCTATATAATCTGGTTGTCAAAGGTTTAAGAAGATCCAGTGGCTGAAACTGAGTCCCATTGTTTTGTAAACAACACAAATGTGGTCTCAGTTAAGGCATAGGGTGTTGTTTATGGTGGTTTGGGTTTGTGTGGGATTTTTTGTTTTGTTTGTTTGTTTGGTTCTTTTTTGGTGGGGAGGTTTGTTTTGGGTTTGTTTTAAATGAAGATAGTTAGTGGTCTATTAGAAGAGTGTCATCCTATGTCTGTCTCCCCAAGACCTTAATCAAGACTAGATTCTTTTTGAAATAATACATAGTCTAGAATTAGAACTGTGTGGGGAAAACTTTGGCCTGCTCAGCTTGCTTAATCATTGTGATCCTTCTCAGTTATAGAACTGCTAAAGTGAGTGTTCACAGTCCCTAACTAGGCTCTAAATGAGATTGGCTTAAAAATCATGAGACATAAATACAGTGCTGTTCTTTATATATCTTCTGGCTCTTTCAGCCTTTGCATAAAAAGGCTTAAAAATATTGGTGTCAACAACAGGACACCAGTATAATATCTATTCTGAGGAAACTCTCGTGTTCAGAATCTGAAAATAAAATGAGAAGTAAATTTCATTACCTTTATGATTAAATCAAGAAAGATGATATACCGTAAATATAAAAACTATAATATTTTAATTTAACAAGGAACCTTTTGAAAAGGAAAAGAAGAGCAGATAAAAAAGATTGCCAACCTAATGTGTAAGCATACATATCGCTCTCATGCCATCCTGGACTATAGATTGTATGCATCTACTATAAATGTAGAAGGAAAAGTAAATTAGTGAATTTAATAAAGAATCACAGGTTTGCATTTACAGTACTCTTGCTCATCATTGTTAAAAATAAAAAACTACTCTGGTTATTGATGTGTCTTTACACTTTTCCTTTCCCTCTTGTGTACATCTTTGTCCCCTGATATCTCCACATCTTGGAGGGCTTATAAATTATTTTAAAACCAGAAAAGTTACTGATCTTTGGAATATAAAGCCTATGGGGCTAAGAAAACACTATTTTGACATTCCTATAGTGTTCATATACTGAAGGAATTCAGAAAAAGAAATGGGATGGTTGTGCTTTACAGAGAAGTGTGCTTATCTGTCTGTTCAGAGAGACCCTGCTCAGCTCTAGGCTGTTTCACAGAAAGGCTGGTGATCCGTCTGAACTGCAGAAGATTCTGATGAAATTTGCCTTCTTCATTTTCTCCTGGAAATGACTGCTTATGTTAATGTTTTCCTTTTGAAATGTACAAGCACACATCAGGATTCTAAATCTGCCAGTGCTTTCTATTTCTTCTCTTTAAACATAGTGTATTCATTGCCTATAGCCACAGGATTTTCAAGGCAGTATCCTTTTAAACAATGAATAAATAATTAATATTAAGTAAGAAGTTAAATGATAACTGTCTTAGCACACAGTAGCTTTTTCTTCTGTTCACAAATTTGGTAACTGGCAATTATCAACTGTGTACACATTTCTGACAGAAGGTAGGGAAAAGGGGTTTTAGTGAATTAAATCATGTAGGCATATTCATAGACAAAAAAAGAAAGGGAAGAAGAAATTTAAATTTTTTCATGGTAGAAGAAAGGTTTTGTTTTGGAAAGTACAGAAACAAGCTGAATCCAGTTTGGATGATGCAGTTCTAAGGCAGAAGTCCAGGTATAAGAACAAGTGTATATAAGGCATCATCTAATTCAGCTGCTGTTGTTTTTTTAACAATTTCTATTTACTGAGGTTATATATCAGCACTAATGTGAGTTTTTGTATCTCTTGGTCTTTATCTCTCTTCTATTATTTTAGTATGTAAGTGATTTGGGGCACATTACTCTTTCGGTTGTACCTTGCATATATACTTCCAAAGATATTCCTTCTAAAGATACTCAGATATCTCTACATATCAATCAGAGTTCATCTTAAACAGTGATTGTGGAAGAGATGAATAATAATGAAAAATGCTTAATGCTTTGAAGTTTACATGGTTTGAACATTTGCTTTATTACTTTCTGAGATGCTAGTAGTATATTTAGAAGAACATAGGAATGTGACATATAATTAAAAGTTAGGCAGTTGGAGTATGAGCAAGGCTTTCTGGCAACCACCCATAGGGAGCATGGTTTCTGACAGTGGGATTGCCACTAGGAAAAAGTAGGATTCTATAATGGATTTATGTACATGAGGAGATGATTAAAGAAGGCTTCAGAACACTTAAATCCAATCTTGAAGATATTAATAGCATATAAAATTAAAAGAAAAAGCGTAGAATTTTACCTTTCTATAGTGTGAGAATGTAGGTAGTCCTAACTTCTTACATCCTATAATTTGTCCAAACTATGTGTTGTCTGAGCTAAAGAACAGTTTAATTTTTCTAAGTCTATGTCACCTCATATTTACCTATAGTTGTGGACAGCAGTGACATTTCTGCTATTGAGTTTACACTCAGCAGTTTTTTCAAGGTCTTTTAAGAGTCTTATGAATACTTGGCTAAACATGGATTTCAGAAGAACGTAGATGAAAACCAAAGCCAGTGTGAGGGTAGATCTGTCTTGGCGATGTACACTCCGATAATTCTAATATATGGCACCTGTTTAAAAGTGAAGCATAGCATAGTATTGTACCAGAAGTAACAGACGGCAGGATCTCATCTGCTTATGTTAGCTTTGCAGAAAACCTAAGAAATTCAAGAGG